GCTTGAGGGCAGGAGTTTGAGGTTGCTGTGAGCTAGGCTGACGCCACGGCACTCACTCTAGCCAGGGCAACAGAGCAAGACTCTGTCTCAAAAAAACTTTCCAGAGTCTCCTGAGAAGTACAGACAATGCACAAGTGCCCATGAAGTTTTAGCAGGAGCTCAGGTGCTGCTTCTGTTGAGAAGTAATGATCTGCTCAAACTAGTGACCACTAATTGTGGTAGGCAGACACCTGATCTGGGCTCTTCAGGCAAACACGAGAGACAGGTATTTGAAAATACCCCTGAGGCCTTGATTTATATTCTTTGACCCTTAAAACCAGAAAAGGCTGAAAGGCATGTTGTCACAACTAGCTAAAGTTTCTGGCCCATGGCACAGAGGCAGATTGTCTCCCTAAATTCAGGGGTATTTTCACGTCTGTCAATTGACTAGTGGATTCTGACCACCTGAGAGTTACTGCAAAGTCAGAACAGGAGACTCAGCTGAGAAGTGAGGCACTTTTTTTTTTTTTTGAGACAGAGTCTGGCTCTGTCACCCGGGCTAGAGTGCCGGGACGTCAGCTCCGCTCACAGCAACCTCCAACTCCTGGGCTTAAGCAATCTTCCTGCCTCAGCCTCCCGGGTAGCTGGGACTACAGGCATGAGCCACCATGCCCTGCTTTTTTTTTTTTTTCTCTATATATATTTTTTTAGTTGTCCAGCTAATTCCTTTCTGTTTTTAGTGGAGACAGGGCCTCGCTCTTGCTCAGGCTGAACCCGAACTTCTGACCTTGAACAATCCTCTTGCCTTGGCCTCCCAGAGTGCTGGGATTACAGGCGTGAGCCACTGCGCCCGGCCAAGGCACTTCTTAACATATGTTGCCTGCTACCAGTGGGACTGAATCCACAGCTGGTCTCCACTCAACCAGAAACATACCCTGTATCAAGTTGGCCCTCAAAGAGGAGATTTCAAGACCTTTTTGCATAGGCTAATATCAAGTTTCTCATTTGCTATGTGGTATTAGAAGGATTAGGAGAAACTCTGGCAACAGAGCTAGGTTCAAATTCTCATGTAGCCACTTTTTTGGACAAGTGATTAAACTTCTCAAAGGCCAGGTTCCCCATCTGAGAAGCAAAACAGTACCTACTTTAGAATGCTACTTTGAGGACTGCTAGAGATAATTATACAGCACCTAGCACAATACCTAGACACAGGAAACAGCAAATCAGTGTTTACTGACGAGAAAGCAACAAAAGTAAGCACTATGGTTCACTGTGACATCTCTGAAGGTGCTCCTACCATCTTTTCTGAAGGGTGCTAGACCAGAGTATAGATAACTATCCATGCTGTATCTAAGTGAATTAGGAACTGACCAAGACAATGCAAACAAAACCTTTTAAAATCTAATTTTATTCCTAAAGTTGAAATTAGCTAGCAGGTAGCACTGAAAATACACCTTCACTATACAAAACAGTGTAAACTGATTACACATTAATAAAGAGTTTTAGCACACACACTTCTAAAGAAAGAAGCTAGATGCAGCCCTTGCTATAAAAAGCTGTACCCGAACAAAAATGGACATGTTTTAGTCTAAGGCCCTGGCAGTTGCCTATAGAATGTCAGTTCAATTATGTTTAAATGCAGAAATAGCAACAATGTGGAAACTTACATTCATCAAATATTAGCACTTAAAATATACAAGACTAATAAAGTGAACATTCAGAGGGGCCACTATTCAAAATGTTCCACGTCAGCCACTTGTGGACAGTGATCTCATCTAAAGAGAACAGAAGTTTCAAACATCTGAGTAGTTTAAGTTAAAAATAGGATGAATGGGAAATAAGAACAGGATAAGTGTCCTCCAAAGACAGGAGTTGATGCCCACATGTGGCACAGTCTGACTTCCATAGTTAGTATTTATGGAACTTAAGAGAAAGCCCACAGAACCCGGGAAGCTCCTGTGTCCACAGGCAGATACGCTCATGGCATGGACCAATGTTTCCATAACTTAGGATATACCTTTCTGTCCCCAGTTAGTAGTGAAAATAATTTTTAAAAATAGCTTCAGCCTTTGAACAATAAGTTTCCAGTCCCTTCTGTGCACTGAAATGTTTGGGATCAAGTCTAGGGGCAAGTGTCCTGTTGGGGAGAGCCTCCGTTTCAGGACTTGAACACGTGCACAGCTCGCACCACATACTGCCGGCAGATGGGACACTCACTCATGCGCTTGCCACACTTGGTGCAGGTGACCATGTGCCCACACTCGAGCAAGACACAGTCGATGACGGCATCCATGCAGATGCGACACAGGCTGTCGTCCTCTTCATCCTGCAGCTGTAGCCGCTCGCCATCTGAAAGGCAACAGAGTTAGGGCCTCAGGCATGGCCGCCCACCCGAAACTGAGCAGCCATCTGCTGTGACCACTGCAAGTGCTGTACCACCCAGGGTTGTACCAGAAAGGATCCCAACTTCTCTGCACTTTGGTTCTCTCCACTAGAAATGGCAACGATAATACCTACACCTCAGGGTTTTATAAAGAATACAATGCTTAAAGTACCCAGAAATGTTACCTACTCATTCCTGTTTTATAATCTTTGTGTAATTTAAGAGGTATGTTTAAGGATATATTACTTCTAAAATTAGAAAAAAGAAAAATAAAGAAGTTGTAAGTTTACTTTCTACACATGGGCCTTGGAATCAGAACACTATTGGAATTTCAGCTCAGCTGCCTGAGCTGTGTGGCCATGGGAAAGTCACAGTCTCTGGACTCTCATCTCAGCAGAAAGAGCAGCTTTCGTTCCACACTCACAGGGAAGTTAGGAATAATCATACATGAGGTAGTGAAGGACCTCCTCCCCGCAG